TTGGCTTTTTTTTTGGTAAAAACGAAACCCCTTGGACCCCCTTCACGTTTGACAAAGGAAATGAACGGGCAGATTTTCAGTCTTTGTTCGGATTTCATACGCTAATGTAATACTCGAACCTGATGCGCTTATTACTAAAAAATAAGCAGTTCGCGCGCATTTCCTTAGCAACAAGTCATTAAACATTACCAGTTTTCCATGTACAATCTGAGTTAAAGATTTTTTTTTTAAGATAAGAAAAAAACAATGAAAACAGTAGAGACATAAGAAAAATCAAGAATTAACAAAATAAACAAAATCGACACTTTTAAAACAAACAAGCTTATGAATTTGCTGTTTTTTTTTGGGAAAATCATGCCAATAATTATCCTATTTCCCTCAAAAAAGAGGAAATGGAAAGGAAATTACTTGTATTATTATAAGTTGATCAAAACAAATTTACAAAAAAAAGAGGTAATAAATTCTATTCTAATGGTAAAGAAATTCAGAAGCTGTTTTTCTCACGCACACTTTTTTCTCGCACATTTATTATTCATGATACAAAAAAAATTCCCAATAAGAAAAAAAAATAATATCTTTTGAACAAGAAAAAAATTTCGAAAAAAAGGTGTGCCGTTCCCATAAAGACTGAAAAATAATCGTTTTTTGAACTAAACTGTGGGATTATTTGTGGATTTGCTAAAGAGGAATATCGAGATTGGATATCAATTACTTGATCGTTGATTCCCTCTGGAAAAAAGCCTATTTGGTACCAAGCTAGTAACTGAAAAGTAAGCTATCCGAAATACAACAAATTCAAGAATTCCCGGAGTCCCATGGAAAAAAAAAATACAGTATGGTTAAAAAAACAAATTCCTGAAGCTGAATCCCAAATCTTTCAAATGCCAAGAATTCTTTATTCAGCAAATTCGTAATTGAAAAGCCAACTATCCAAAACACAATAAATTCGAAAATTCCCGCGATCCCATGAAAAAAAAAAATACAGAATAGTCAAAAAACAAATTCCTGAAGCTAAATCCCAAATCTTCAGATGCCCAGAATTCGTTGATCAGCAAATTCTTTTTGCATAATTTTTGCTGTAAAATTTTACAGGTAACGAAAATTATTAGTAACATCAGTGGCAGCAGTGTGTCCAGAAGAGGTGTCAAAAATTCCTGTTGTCTGCGATACATAGGTACCATTGCTGA